TTCTCTGCCATCACCTGCCGCTTATCTTCCCACATGCCGGCAGAACTCCTCTGAGACTTGCCTTTTTTCTGGTATTTTGGGTCTTGATCCCCCCCCCCCCCGTTCATTTATTTCTTGTGAACCTGGAGGAATTCCACATTTATTCTGGAGAAAGGATCGCTCAGTAGGATTTCCCTCTAGATTAGCGTGGAGGCTCTTACTGTCTCGAAGGAGTAACAAATGCCTCCCTGCCCAGTGCCTGCACAAGCATTTTTTGCTGATGCTAAGACAAGGAGGGTCTTAGCTTGGGGTGGCACACACAGGAGGAATTATAGTTCTCTCTCTTCTGTGCTTGCCTCAGGACAGAGGGTTTCTGCTGGGCTGTGGAGCACTCGAGTACCCTTGTCTAGTGAGCACACCCCTCTACCCTTGGGGGCCCTGCGGCTTCTGCAGCTCTTCCTTCCTAAAGCCCAGGTAAGGACAGGCAGCTAGTCTCCCGGGCCCTGAAGGCTGATGTGTACAGCTTCAAGCGTCTCTAAATTCTTCTCAGTGGCTTCTCCACTCGCTCCGACATCAAAACTCTCCCTCAGGCTGTCCCTTATCTGTCATCCTCCAGACTCTAGTAGCAGGACTGGCCTCTGGGCTCCATGCCTCCCTGAGCTCCAGGGCTCATAGAGATGGACCTAGTCCCAGAACCACTTCCTCTTTCACTCTCATGTACCACATCGGGCCCACAGGCAGGACTCACCAGGGCTACTTCCAAAGCACCTCGCCAAGCAGACCCCTGCAGGTGACCTTGCCCCACCCAGGCACCACGGCATTTCACAAACCAGTGTAAATCACAGTGGCTGCCTCTGCACCGGCCCTTGCCAGCTCTCCTTCCATTCTCTATATTGCAGATGGATCCTCTCAGAGCACACACCAGAGCCCATGCCCCGTGCTTAGGCCCTCTGGTCCACCTCTAGAGCTCTATGCACAAGCCCTCTGCTCTCCGCCCCACCTGCATATCTGACTCTCCTTCCCTCTTGTCTACCAGGCTCCAGCCACTCTGAGCCTCCCTCTTCCCTTCCAGGGTGAGTCAAGTGGGGGCAGCATTTGCCTGGCTCTTCCTTTCAGAGCCTGGTGTGACTTCCTCTCTCTGAGCCTTTAGGTCTCAGCAGGAATGTCTCCCCAGAGTGGTCTCTCCTGCCCCCTGTGTTATCAAATCCCCTCCCTGGTCCTGATGACCTGAAACACATTAACTGCTTGTGTTCAGATTCACAGCCCGTGGGCTCCCTCCCACCCACCCAGCTCATCACAAAATTTCCAGGGCAGTAGGAATCTGCTCATGCATACGTGCAGTGTCTGATGTCCAGAAGCCGTCACGGACAGGGGTGGTAACCGCACCGTCAATAATAGCCACATTAACTTCTCTTTTAGAAAGCTTCAGTGCCTACTGTTCCCGAGGTGTAGATTCCCCAAGCTACAGTTTCTGGCCTCATAGCACTTTCCCCAGGCATCTGTGAATTTTGCCTGGGAGCTCTTCTTGGTGAGAACCTCCTGTGTGAAGTCTGGTGTTGGCCTTACAAGGTCCACATCACAGCCCTAGTGGGCGGCTGGAACTCAGGACACATCATGCATAATGTAAATGTCACAGCTCCTGCGTTTTTCTGGGTGAATCCTTTTCTGCCCACAATATAGGGAGTCAGCCAGCTTTGGGCTGAGTCCTTGTGGTGGACAGACTTTCTGGTCCTGTTGTCCCAGGCAGTATGGATGGCTGGCGTTATTCAGGGAGCTCAGTTCTAACTGCATGAGAAGCCTGTATTAGTTTCTTTTCTGTTACTATAACAAAATGCCCATGACTGGGTAATGTCAAAGAAGAGAGGCTTATTGATTTCACAGCTTTGGAGGCTGAAAGTCTAAGATTGGGTGGCCCCCTGGGTGCAGCAGCCGAGGAGAAGCTCATGGCGATCAGAATCACAGTGGAGCAGGTCATATGACACGACGGGAACCCAGCCACGTTCTCAGGTCCGTCTTGCTCTGACCCTGCACCTTCCCGGGAACTGGCTCACTCTGTGAGACAAATATCCATCTTTTCCAGGGCACGCCCCGGAGAGCAGAACCAGTGCTCACTAGATCCTGCATCCCAAGGGTCCCGCCACCTTTCAGCACCACTATGCTGGGTACTAAGCGTCTAGCACTGGAGGGCTTGGGGCCCAAGCACATCCAAACCACGGAAGGCCCAAGAGCTCAGTGCTGCCCCCAGGAAAGGTTAGAACCCAAGCTCCTCAGCCTCTTTCTGTTTCAGATACGTGAGCTGCTCTGAGAGTGCTCAGCTGGAATCTGCTCCTTGTCCAGACCCTGGGAACTTCTCTTTCCTGCCTTGGAGGTCAATGTTGCATTTTCTTAAGTGTTATGTTGTACCTGCTGTGTGTGTGTGTGTGTGTGTGTGTGTGTGTGTGTGTGTGTGTGTAGAGGGTCTCTGTTTGCTCAGTCCCACCCTGACCAGGAAGTCCCTTCTGGCCAATCTGTACATCCTTGTCTCCATAGCTCCAAACCCAACAACTGTACCTTGGGGGGTAGGGGGTGGCTCTGACTTGGGCAGCTGCCTTTACGGCTCCTGCTGACACTCGTGCGCTCCCTGCCTGCTCTTTAGAGCTGCTCCCAGCCCCAGTGTGCTGCTGGGCACCCTAGTGCACACTATAAATACTTGCTTGTTAAAGGAAATCGAGCAGCTTGCAACATTTTGCTGCTGACAGCTGGTCCCTGTCCCCAGCAGCCTCTGTGCCCTGTCAACCCCTCGGCTTGCTGCAGCAGCCAGGAGGAGGGCAGTGACCAGGGAGACGGGGCAGGCGTCCAATGCCCCTCACAGCCAGCAATGCTGTCTTCAAAGGAGGATGCCATCACCCCACACAGAGCCTTTCCTGGCACTGGGGACCGAACCCAGGGCCTCATGCACTGTGGGGAGGCACTCATGGCTCTGCTACCCTGCCCCCCTCCCCCCAGTTTTTAAAATGTGCTCTCATGACAGTCTTCTACACACGGTAGGAGAGGATAGGATACTCACGGCATGAGTTCATATTTAATTTCTATGAGAACTTATTGCAGGTCTGACATTCGCTAAGCACCTTAAATAATAACACACCCATAAAATATAAATATTGTGTTCATCACAACCGCTGATGCACATGGCATTAGATGATAGGCATAGGTACTTTTCCTACATTAGTTCACTAACTCTCCCAACCCACTTTCTAGCCACTGTGATTTAGAGCTGCTGAACCTGAGGTTCGAAGAGGTTACTTGTCAAAGGCCACACTCTACGCAGTGCCAGTGTTCAGGGCGCTGCACCTCACACCCAATGTTCAGTCTTCAGAACCACCCAGTACCCAAGGAGCTGTGGGGACCCACTTTTTACAGAGGTGAGAAACGGGGGCTCAAAGAGGTGTAGAGGAGGTTGTTCAAGATGGCACCGCCGGACCAAGCACCACGAGGTGATCACAGGGTACAGTGCCCCGGATGCCATCCACACACAGGCACGGGGACCCTGTCTCTAGCAAATGTCCCCTTCCTGGCTCTTCAAAAGTGACCACACCTTATTTTTAAATCTGTTTATTTCAAAGACATTTTATGAGGTTGTCATGTGTTTAAATAAATGAGCATCTTGCTTTGACTGTCACTAAACCTCAATATAGTTCTAAAATTTAAGTAAGAAATAAAGGAAAACAAAAGTCCAGGATGGGCCTCCTTGGAAGACAAAAGGAAGAGAGCAGCGCCTCCTTCTCCTGCACTGGGGAGCAGCCTCACTCCCCACCTCTGCGGGCCCTGCTGGCAGCAGGAGGTGCCTGGACCCTGCTGGCCCCATCCAGTCTCAGACCCAGGTGCAGGCCTGGAGGAGCACAGAACTCGAAGGCGTGCCTGAAAGCCCCTCCTGCAGGTGGCCCTTGCTTCCTCATTATGGCTGGCTCTCTGCTGGCCTGGTGTTCTCCCGATACCTTAAGCAAGAAGTGCTGCCGAGGCAAAGCATCCAGCCCTCGCTCTCCCTCTCTCTGAGAATGGGGTGGGCTGCACTGTGAAGGTGAGGCGGGCGCCTTTGCTCCCAGTCTCCCTAAAAGGAAGCTGGGTTCCCAGGATGCTCAGTTGCAGGTAACATTTACAGCAAGGACACAATGCACTGCGTGTTGCAGGCACGCAGCCTCCCTCAGGGACTAAATAAGAGTGGTACGGTGCAGTGTACATGCCCAGGGCCATGGTACAGGATTCTGTGGGTGGGAGGAGGACATCACCAGGAAGCGGGTGGGAGGGAAGAAAAGAAAGGAGCTGCTTATAAAATGCGGAGACACTCACCTCCTCCTCCCAATATCTCTAACCACAGGGCAGTGGTTTTCAACCTGGGCTGAGCAGTAGTCCCCTTGTGGAATTTTAAGAATCCAGCTGCCCAGGCCCTATCCTAGGACCCCCAAAGTCAGCAAGTGGAAAACTGACAGTCACTCTGGTCTCATGTTTAGCAGGAGCAGACAAAACCTTGTGGATTATGCTACACCCATTACATCTACTCAGCTCTCTCACTGTGGTGCAAAGGCAGACACAGGCTGTGCATGTGTAAATGCACGAACACAGCTGCCTTCCAATAAAACTTTATTTATGAAAAGTGAAGGCAGGCCTGCTTTGGTCCATGGGCTGATGTGTACCCACCCCTCAGCAAGAGGAGACAGGGAGCTTTTCTAAATCACATCTTCGGCATCTCCACATCCTTCAACATTTCCTAATCTCCAACCCTCTGTGCCTTGCAAACCATTCATAGAGTTTCCTGGTAAAGTATTCCCTCGGGGTGGGCAGAGCAAGTAGGTATGAAGCCAGATGGACCCAGCATATTACTGCAGCTGGTGGGGGGCATACGGGGCTCCTTCCACTCTTCTGTCTACTTTGGTGTACGTTTCAACCTTACAAATGGTTAAAACTGACATAATAAAAAAGAGACAGAGAACTCCCCGCAGGCAACAGCACAAGTGGAAGCAGCAAGGTGACTGGAGGATACTCACGACCAGTAGAGCAGCATGAGGAGGAAGGGGCAGATGATGACGGCCTGCAGCACCTGCCAGTCCCGGCACAGGGCGGCCAGCCCAGGCATGAGAAACTGGCCCACCATGGCCACGAAGCTCGCCACCATTGTGATCATGAACCGTTTCCCAGGCGGACACAGCTCTATTCCTGGAAGACAGAAGCAAAAGGGAGACATGAGTGCCCTGCCCGATGGCCCTGGCGGGTACAAGTGATGTTTCACACCTGGGCGAACCAAGGGTTGATGGGGAAAGGAGCAAGGTCCCAGAGCAAGGTCCCAGAGCAAGTTCAGAGGTGCTTGGTATGTGGGGACTAGCTTTGCACGGCCTACTGTCCCCCTTCCTCTGCTCCTTGGATGCTGTTGAGCTCATTGGCCAGCGAGTTCCCAGCAAGTTCGTGTTGTTGTCACTCTTTCCTGGCCAGGACCCAGCACTGGGGACCCTCTTGTCTCTGGAGGGGAGCCAGGGATGTTCTGGGTCTCCCTCCCACTGCACTGCCCTCCCTGCTCGTGGGCTGGACCCCAGGCTCCTGGTGAGTTCCAGGCAGCCTGCTCTGCAGTGAGACCAAGTCATACTGAATAAGCTGAATCACAGCATATCTGTGTAAGCATGATGAAAACAAACATGAAAAAAAGAAAACAAACATAAACAGGCTCAGGTCACGCAGTGATGACCAAACTAGGAAGCTCCTTCACCACACGTGAATCTGTTGCCCACTATACTGGCATTTCTCCCAGGTAGAGGCCGTGTCTGATTCATCTTGGCCTCTCCAAAAGGGAAAACGGGTCTATCTTCAACAAACATCCCCAGAATGGAGGGAGGGAGGCCTTGTTCCTCATCTATTCAAGAATCCATTCTCTTAATTTAAAGTTGAATAAAAAGATGGTCCACAAATTTTAATTTGTAGCATCCAAATGACAACAAACACAGACCTACTACACAAACCCCTATAATAATGGTCCTTAATTGTAGAAAACCCAGCTGGGTTTTATGTATATTGTTTCCCTATAGAGTAGAAAAATTAATTTGCTACTGTTCTACAATATGCAGTATTCCTGAAAGTTTTCTTTCTTGCTTCTATTTTTTAAAGTGTAGTTAAAAGAAATTTAAAAAGAAAAAGAGGAAGAAAGATCCTTAGGCAAAACACTTTTTGTGCCTCTGTATCCAGTTAATGCTCCAAGGGTGGGCTTTGTAGCCGGTTACAGTTGCTCATGGGCTGACTGTCCAGAGAGCATGGCAGAGGTAGGAGGCCAAAGGCAACAGGAAGCGGGCAGGCGAGAGGGAGAGCAGGTAAGTTAGAGAACTGTAAGGATGTTATCAGTCCTGATGAGGACAGGGCACTGCGCCAGCCCAGCCGATACCTCACCCACCCACTTATCTTCAGGAAAAGATAACAATGTCATTGGAACTCTATTTGGCCACAGTCACCATCACAGCTGTTCATGAGCAGAAAATAAACCTGAATGTAACTTATAAAGAGCTTCTTTTTTGCCATTTAATTAAGAATATAGGACAAAACAGCCCCCTCCCAGCTATTTGCTGGAATGCTATTCCTTTCAATATTTCCAGCCAACTCACTTAAGAGATTACTCTCTAGCAGTGTCCTGACACGGCACTTCTTCTCCCACAAAGTAATAAAGAAAAAAGTCTTGTCAGAAAAGACTAACCGCTGTAGTTCTCACTTAGTAAGCATAAGCAGTATATCTGCTGCCATGGAAACCAGAAATCTGCATTAGCCACAGTAGGTTCAGGGCTTGGAGGCTTGAGGCAGGTGGGTGTTAGAGGAGAAGATGTAGCACCTGACCACCTATGTCACTTTTAGACAAAGTCAGAGACTACATGTCAAGAAGCGTGACAGCTTCATGTCACTGAGTTTGCTAGTACAATAGGCGTCACATGTTACTTGTGGGTTTTCTTTTCATTATTTCCTTTAGTTTACTGATACGATATGTGTGGGAATATTTGAAACTACAGCAGTCTCCCTTATTTGTGATTTTATTTTCCACCATTTCAGTTACCTGAAGTCAATCACAATATAAATAAAGTGCATACAAAATTCCAGAATAAAAAATATGTAAGCTTTATGCTGCTTATGGCAGTCAAGGCAGAGTAATGAGACCTTGTGCCCTCTTGCTCTCTGAGGAGTGAATTTGCCTAGTGTATCCGTGCTGTATGTACTACCCACTCGTTAGTCACTTAGTAGGCATCTTTGTTATCAGGGTGCCTTTTGTGGTGTCCTAGTGCTTGTGTTCAAGTAACCCTTGTTTTATTTGATGATGTCACAACTCAAGAGTAGTGAGGCTGATGATTTAGATGTGCCACAAGGAAGTAGTAAAGCACTTCTTTTAAATGAAAAGGGAAAAATTCTCATTAATAAAAGAAAAAATACTGGATGCTGAGGTTACCAAGATAGATGGCAAGAATAAAACACATGTGACCTTTCTGGCATCCACTGGGAATCCTGGAATGCACTACCCATGGGTATGGGGTGGGGTGGAAGAGTACCCAGTTCTTTTATCATAGGCCCCCCTTGGGATGTCCAACCCCACGTACTAATCTACACTTATGTGATATCATGCAAAGGATCATGAAGCAACTTCTCAGACTGGGCCCGAGGTTTGCACATGAGCAGGAAAAGTAGGCCCTTGATGGGTGAGTGATTGTGCAGAATGACTTCAGTCTTTCCTGGCTGCAAACGAGTGGCTGTGGCTGGGACCACTATTAATGTGACTGCTGTTATGGTTTCCGTATGATGTGCACTCCAAGCCTCATGTGCTGGGGGCGGGTTCCCAATGCAGCAGTGTTCAGAGCAGATGCTCTCTGGAAAGATGAATGTGTCACGAGGGCTCTAACCCCATCTGCAGATTAATCCTTGGTGAAATCATAATTAGGAAATAAGGGACACTTAGGAGGTGGGTCCTAGTGAAGGGGTAGGCCATGGGGGTGTGTCCTTGGTGACAGTATCTTGCCCCTGGTCCTTCTTCTCCGACTCTTTCCCCATCTTTCTGCCTCCCAACAACTGTAAGGTGAGCAGTTTTGATCCACTGAATTCTTCTGGCCAGATGCCCTGCCTCATCTGAGACCTACAGCCATGGAACCAGCCAACCATGGGCTAAAATCTCTGAAACTCAGCACCAAAATAAGTCTTTTCCTCCTTTCAGTTACTTTTCTCAGGTGTTTTGTCACAACAGCAGAAAGCAGGCTAACACCACTGTCAATGTGACAATTGCTAAAGTCCATACACTTTCTCCTCCAAGTCCTCTCTACCTCTCCCGCGAGGGGTCTGAGCGGTCCCCTAACTTCTTGCCACACGAAGTGGGGTAGCGTCAGCATCACATGGGAGTCTGTTGGAAAGGTGAAGGCCTGGGGCCCGCTCAGTCCTGCAGAGCCAGCACCTGCCTTCACAGCCACTCCCTGGGCAGCTCACTGCTTCCCTCTCATGGGAAGCAAGGATGCCTCCCAGACCTAGCTGCGGGGCTGATGACGAGACCACCCTGCCCTCTCTCTGCCTGCACTGCTGGGACTCCCAGTAGCTGTGGTGTCATCAGATAGAGGAATGCCCAGCAGGCCAGTAAGTATTTATTCTAGCATTCCTACTCTGGGACAAGGGAAAAATACAGTCATTTAAGGAGGGATGCAGGTGTGACCATTTTCAGATAACTTTTTTTTTTTGACTTGAGTCACCAGAAATTCCTTCCAAATTGACTAAATCCAACTATGTTCTGTAGGTGGCTATAATTTTTTTTTAAAAGAAAGTAATTATCATGGAGCTGCAGGCACTTGAGGCTTGCCATTAATCGCATGTTCCCTTTGGAGGGTGAGAAACCAGATTTTCTGAAGTGGGAGAGAAAGAACCCACCAGGGTGTGAAATCCTTCTCCCTGGCATCCATCGGGAGGGGAGGAGACACAGGGAGATGTTGGTGCTGCCTCCGGCCCCATACCCCTGCTCCTGATCCCAGCACAACGGCTCACCCACCCTGGAGGTGGCTCTAGTGACCTGGCTGTGGCCCCTGGCTTTGGTCGTGAAACATGGGGACCCCTCTTGAGGTTTGGTTATTTTGTAGAGCAGGCTGCCACAGGCAGGCATCCACAGTACCCTGGAGGACTGCAGCTGTGCCCTGTGCCCGGGCGCTTCTTAGAGACAACTTCTTTGTCAGTGGAACCAACCTGAATTGCCTTGGTAGATGTTCTCTGATAGACAGCAAGACCCTCCCCTCCATTATATGAAATATAAATCATCACAATAATAAGCTGTCATTAGGATACATGAAAGTCAAATTTAGGTGTCCAGCATGCAGTACTGGTACTACTGTAGTCAAGAGCCTGTATTCTGGAGCCAGAGGTCTTGGGTTCTAATGCTGTCCCTGGTACTTAGGACCTTGGTTCTGTCATCTAGAAGTTCTAAGCTTCAGTCTTCTTAACTGCAAAATGAGGTGTGTGGGCATGAAACAGCACAGTGCCTGACCACTGGCAGTCTATGTGACAGCTGTCAAAAGACCTTGAAAGCTCAGTGGCATTCCTGGAGGTCTAAGCTTTGTTATAAAGGAGAAGAAAAATAATCTATGAGACAGTCCACATGCTTTCCTCTGCATGTATTTTATTTTGTGGGGATTCCTTTACTCCAAGAAGCAATCCACTACTGAAAAACAGAAGCAAGGGGCTGGGGTATGTATAGCTCAGTGCTAGAATCCCTGCCTAGAATGTGTGAGGCCCTGGGTTTGAGTCCTAGCACCTCAAAACAAACAAACAAACAAATAAGCAACAAACAAAATTGGAACCAAAAAACCAGAACTGGGTGAATCCAAGAAAACTACATCAAAAATCCGCACTGTTAAACTGACCTTTCCCCCAGAGCCTTGACAGAGAAGCCTGACCCACGGCGCTTAGGAGCTAGACGGGCTTTGGAAACAAGCAATGAAACCTCCGAAGGCTCTAAGAATGAAGTGGCGCGTCATGAAGACAGAGAGGTGGTGTTTGGTCAGTAAGTACGGAGGGCAGTGACCATGACGGTCTGAGCACGGGGCACGGGGGCAGCCAGAGTAACTGTGGGACATGTGGCCTTGTCAGGAAGCTGTGACTCTGGGAAGATCTGCTTTTTAGAAATTTTGAGATTCTTACACATTTCCTGGAGGAAAAGAGAGTTGTACTGC